TAGTGACATTCGTGGGTAGAAGAGGTGGAGAGTTGGGCAAGGATGGTGAAGACGACCCAGAAGCTGATGAGGACAGCGTTGCGGAAGACGAGACAACGTATGCCCTGGCTGACGACTCGTCCGTATACGTAATTGTGGTGCCTTCTGAAGGTTCGTTCATGTGATGGTGTAGTGCATTTCTCATCAGGAGTCACTCACCATCAACTTGATCTCCTTTAGGAACGATTCCTCAAGCGCATGTTGCCATTTTTCGAGCGGATCGTCTTAAGCACGGCAAGATTCTGCCCGGGTTGTCGATGGCGGAAACGACGAATCAGTGCGTTCGCTCGCATGCTCATCACCGAAGAGCACTGAAAACGGCGAATTTATAAACTGGCGAAGAAGATCTTCAAAATGGCAACTCACTCGTTCACAGCTGCATTCGTTGAATGGACATATAGCCGCATGTCCTTTCAGGACCGAAATGAAGCCATGTCCTTCGCATTTGCGGCAGGTTAATCGCTTCACTGAAAACATGAGCATCAAAATATTAGAAAACGTCTCTGACTCTTCGTTTTTACTGGCTTCTTTCAGTGGAACTCTTTTTTTTCGTTAATGAATTGATTAGATCCTCGTCCTCATCGCTCTCTATGCCGTAAATGCACTTTCGAAATACACGGAAAATCTCTAAGGTCACCTGTTTCATCGTCATCAGCTAAAAAATTATGTGCATCTAGAAAGTGTTGAGGGATTTCATTGGAATCCGGATTAGCCAGTCATAGATCGGAAACGACTTAACACTTTGACGAGACTTTCTGACGACGCTACTGGGCAATCTCTAAGAATCTAAGCCGCCGTTCAGAGAATCCTTCTGTTATTTGGAATGATTTCCGTATCCGGAAAGACTTGGTGATCCACCACGTAAAACATTCGGGGTACACACGGAAGGAACCTGTCGTGAACATGGCCAGTTTTCAAAATAAAAGGAGTAGCAGAGCCACATGGGATTGAATTTGGCGGTGATTGTTTAACATTTCGATAAACATCCGAATTCGTTTTCTAGCAACAGACAGCAGGCCCATCCTTAAGGAATCTATCTCACCGTAGTGACTGCCTAGGACGTTTTAAGTAGCCCTCGTCTAGGAAATATCAGCGTCTATCTAAACAGCGCTCGCGGTGAAGCTTTCAGTAAGGTGGCTTCCAAGTAGAAGCAATAGGAATAAACGATCAGTCTTGACTTTGGTCCTTGTTCAAATGTGCGATAGAAGCTTGCTGTGCACAAAGAGCCGTTTTCACCTAACAAGAAGCTGGTGTGGTGCCAAAACAGAAGACTAAAATCCCGAAAATTGAACTCACTTGTCTTCTTCTTAAGTTGATCGTCTTGTTGCAAAGATGGATTGTTGAACGGCATTGCTGCGAAAATCATCGTCGTGGTGTCGTCGTCGACGGCTTTATATGGTAAGGGGGCGGCGCTAGCGAATACCCACGTAGCCTCTCCGTCATAATCTGTCGTCAAGACATTTTGTCGCCCTCGTTCCTCATGTTGCTGAGAAAAGGATCAAGGCTGCGGGCTTTTACATCCGGTCGCAAATGTTAGTGAATTGAGAGTTCATTCATTCAGGGCGAATGCCAGCTTGGCCTTCCGTGAATGAAAAGAGTAAGCTTCTCAATATGTATTTATAGCGAAGGAGAAGGCGTTTCTGGAACGTGGGTTAGCTGTTTCCATCGTTCTGGAAAAGGTGAGAGCAAAGAAACGTTGCATATTATTGTAGAATAGAGCTTCAATGCGATGGCATACTCTTCTGGAACTTTACTCCGTGCACTGAAGTGGAGCGTGTGAAGCGTACATCTAATGGAAATTCGAGCAAGCAAGTGCTTCATGGCACGATGCAAGTTACCTGCACGGCGCTTCGGTTTACGAGGGGGCACTTTCAACTATTTACAACCCCAAAATCTCAAAATTTTATTTTTCGTCGAAACTTTGTCTATAGGGGTAATTCGGTGCCCTGATTACGAAAATGACATTCATTTTCAACGGGGCGCCATCTGGCGCCAGGTGGCGTCACCTTGTCACGACAGTTGTTTCACCAAACTCGATGTAAACTTCTGGGTAGGGGTAATTTGGTGTCCTGATTACGAATATGACATTCATTCTTGGCGCTAACTCCATTTGGCCTTATTCCCTTCGTCTGCGCGATTAGACCGCGATCAGGACTGAGCTTTAGGGAAGAGAGGGCTACGAGTGAGTAAGCCATCCACCCTGTGATCTCACACGCTTCATCTTTGTCACACGGTGCCTGATTCACTCATTCCGGGTCTCCCTATCCCCTAAGCTTAGTCCCAAGGCGCTATGTATAGGTGAGAGAGCCCAGAAAAGCGGGAAGTATGCGGTAAACAGCGGTAATGTCAAAAACGAATGTCATATTCGTAATCAGGACATCAAATAACCCCTATACAGAACTTTACACCGAATTTGGTGAAAACATGTGTCGTGACAAGGTGGCGCCAACTGGCAATTATAAATGTCATCTTCGTGATCAGGGCACCGGTCACCCTCGTCAGCAAAGGTTGCGTTGAAATTTTTTTGGGATTTTAGGGGTGGCCAGATAGTGTGAATAGTGTATAGCATACATTATACGAAGTTATACGAAGGAAATCAGTCTCGGCCGGCTTAACTTCAGCACTGCCTTTCTAAATATCTAGAATGCAACTGCTTCTCATGATTAGCACATTCTTCAACGCCATTTCTGTCTCGAAACGTAGCAGATGTCGCTGCTAGTATTCGATTTCGCCTCTTTGTTATCCAAGGCATCTTCCTGCCGCGGTTTTTAGTGAGACTCTCTTTCATGGCGTACCTCCAACTTCTTTTCAGGGTTACTCGTAGTCGCTTGGACTTCAAACTCCAGTCCACATGAAGTGGTCGTGTGGCCTTTTGCAGAAAGACATAGGTGATGTAGATGCCTCTATCAAACAGTTTCAATCGAGAGTTTGGGAGAGGGCTCACAAATAAGAAAATCACGGTTGTTGGGACTCGCAGTCACGCAGCGAGCCATGGAGAGGGCCATGTGCGGGGTAACGCTCCGAGACCGCATACCCAATGACACCATCCGCGCTCGTACGATGGTGAAGGACGTCGTCGATGCCATCTATAATTCCAAGCGGAGGTGGGCCGGTCATGTGGCTAGACTTACCGATGATCGCTGGACGAAGAGAGTGACTGACTGGTACCCAAGGGGAAAACAAGGCCCAGAGGCAGACCCCACCCGATGGGCAGACCCTCTCGTGAAATTGTACGGCCAGTTGTGGCGCAGAAGAGCCCGAAGCAGAGCGACCTGGAAGATGTGCGACCTGCGTTTCTGGCGTGCCCGGGACGAATAGCGGTCGAGAAGTAAGGAGTAAGAAGTATTCGAATTTGGAAATCGGTAGAAAGCTGGCTTTTATTTTTATGAGATACAGTTTGAGTTTATGTTCTGAGACAGCGTCAGCACAAGCGCGATCTGAAGTGCTCTCGTTTTTTCCCGTTGATGCTTCGGTTGACTATCGAGCATACTCACCGATGACTATTATAGGACTACATAGGTAGTGTGTGTTAAGCAATTCAGAAAGAGGCCTAGCTGAAACGACTTCTAACAGCCGATTCTCAACCTTACTCAAGGAAGGTTCTTCTAAATCGTACAGAAAAAACTAGTGGAGATGTGCATTGCAAAAATCTGCTTGCCACTGACCAGAACGCCATAAAGTTGATAAGACACGAAGCAAATTCCTTTTATCCTACAACATTCCACTTCACCTAGAATGGAAGACTCAAAAAATGGAGACTGATGGATTCTTCAATATGGCTATCTGACTCTTCACTATCTCCCTAAGGTCCTAGTTTCCTAAAGAAGATTATCATGCTCAAGGGCACGACAAAAAATCGACATTCAATCATTCTTCATTTGCAAGCCTATGCACGTCTATCATATAACAGGGACACAGGACATACAGGCATACTCGTGTGCTCCTAATTTATCAAAGAT